TGGTGAGGCAAAGATGACCATCAGAGAGCCCCTTGGAGAATAACAGGAGCTGCAGGACCAGGTGTGGCTTGGCTGTCTCAACCTTGAGGCCTGAAAAAGGAAAATAAAACTAACCAAAGCAAAAATACAGATTAAGAATAACTATGGACTCCCTGGCACCCTCATAAGAAACTTTCTTCAGCTTCTCTTGTTTAGTAAAAGTGCCCAGTGGCCACATATTGATACATTAATTTGCCTAAACCCCATAAAATATTAATACCTGGAGATGTGCCCCTTTGCTGACCTGCTGAGCAGGTTCCAGTCTCTGCCATCCCTGTGTTAAATGGACACAGCCTGTGTGAACTCACTCATGAATTGCTAAATCCTCTCCTTCCTTTTAACTTCGGGCTCCGCCACTAGATGGGACTAAGGGCCAGCACATCATCACCAGGGTCAGGGACCAGCTCTGAAAAGCCAATGTTTACAGAGCAACTTGACATGTTGTGAGGATGTTCAGCTCTTACAAACCAGAAGGTTTCTGCATTTACAGAATTTATTCCCCTGTGATGGTAAAATTTTATGCCTTGTTTCTTCCTCCTCTTTTGACCCTGCAAGGAAATCTCCAGTCTCTGTCCATGAGTTCTTTCTGTGGGATGAATAACAAGGAGTTTCTAACGAGACTCCAGACTTGTTCTTTGAGTTTAACTTGGGAAAACAAACAAATATTTGATTCCTCCAGAGCTGGAAAGACAAGGCAAAAAGGGGAGGAGGGGAAAGGATTGCCAAGAAAAGCTCAAGGAGCGTTTGGAAACTGCTCTCAGGGATTGTTGGAGTGTCTGTGCAGTGCCAGGAGTTGAACTGGATGCTCCTTGTGGGTCCTTCAAGCTCAGGGTATTCTGTAATTCCACGAGTCTAAGCAGAGACTAATATTTTGGACCTGGGGTTAATTGGTATCATCATCCAAAATAGGCAAGCTGGGCTTTGGTTCAGCAGAAATAAGTTAAAGGCAGAAAAACACAATAGCTGGACATGTTCTGAACTCCCAGGGCGTGCTGCTTTTGACAGACTGACTGCAATTTTAGGAGGAGAGACAGCTCTAGCACAGAGGACTTTGCCCCTCATGGGCTGGTCAGTAGTGGCTGCAGCCTGTTTTGGAAACTTCCACTGTTTCCTTTTGCTGTGTTATCTCTTCCTTATCACTTGGATGCATGACCCTGTCAGGGTGTTACAACCATCTGTCCTTCCTTTTACCTCCAAAACCTTGTTCTTGTGGTCACAGTGGCCACCACTGTCCTCCCCATCCCCACAGCAGCACCTCACAGTGACCACATCCTGCACCAACAAGGAACTGCAGCCCCTTCTCCCCACCCACCCTACCCTTGCCCCACCACCACAGCTCATCCTCTGGGCACCACATCCTCCTCCATGCCCAGGCTCAAGCCCCTGGAGATGTTGAAAACTGATTTCCAGAGCTTTGGGAAACCCATAAAGTTGGTCTGAGCTGGGATCAGGTGCCATCTGGTAAATTCTAGTAAGACTTTGCCTGCAAACATCCTTTTGAGGATGGCTGAGCTGGCTGGAAGGAGCTGGACTAGTAGAGGCAAAGGGGTTAATTTGCCAGTTAACATCTGGAAAGTGTGGAACTGGGGGTGCAGAGGGGGGATGAGGATGTCCAGCCTGGCAGGGGGGTGGTCCCATCCCAGCTCCATGTCCCACTGAGAGGTTCCTGTTGCTCCCAGGCTCCCCATCCCCACAGCAGCACCTCACAGGGACCACATCCTGCACCAACAAGGAACTGCAGCCCCTTCTCCCCACTCCCCCTGCCCTTACCCCACCACCACAGCTCATCCTCTGGGCACCACATCCTCCTCCATGCCCAGGCTCAAGGTGATGAAGATGTTGACAACTGATTTCCAGAGCTTTGGGAAACCCATAAAGTTGGTCTGAGCTGGGATCAGGTGTAGTGAGTCAATAAATACACGATCCCAGCTTTGGAATCAGAGACTGGAATACTTTATTGGACTTACAACTTGATATTTAAGGGGTTTAGGGTCTACATATTCAACAGGGGGGTTGCATATTCATTTTATTACAATTGGGGGTTTCACAGTGATGAGGTAATAGGGAAAAACCCAGGTTAACAAATCTTGGGGTCTTACATCACAGGAAAAACCCACTTTATCTGGGGGGATTTCCCTGGGGAAAAAGGTATTGGGTTTACAGAATGAAAGGATTGAGGGAACACAAAGGGAGAGATAAAACACAAAAGGTTTTCTGCACAGGTTTGATGAGCTCAGGGCTTGGTTTCTCCGGGCTTGGGCAGGACATTCCAAACCCATGACACCAATGGATCCTTGTCTGGACTCTGGATGAGGGTTTTTTCCCCAGTCTCTGTCAGCCCAAAGCTTTTGTTTCAACTTAGCAGTTTTCTTTTTCTCATATCCAAAATCTGGAATCCAACAATCAGGTGACCAAACCAGACTCGCCTGATAAATCCCAGTAAGGCTTTGCCTGCAGACATAACTTTTGAACCCCGGCTGGAAGGAGCTGGAACAGTAAAAGTCAGGGGGTTAATTTGCCAGTTAACAGCTGGAATGTGTGGAAGTGGGGGTGCAGAAGGGGTGCTCCCATCCCAGGTGCCACTGACAGGATCCCGTTGCTCCCAGGCTTTCGGATGTTCGCGGTGGGAGTCGGCAACGCCGTGGAGGACGAGCTGAGGGAAATCGCTTCCGAGCCCGTGGCTGAGCACTATTTCTACACTGCTGACTTCAGAACCATCAGCAAGATCGGGAAGAAGCTCCAGATGAAGATCTGTGTTGGTGAGGGTCGGGGGATTGGGGAGTGGGGGGGGTTAATCACAGTGTTGGAAGGCTGGGAGCAGAGGGACAAAAACGCCCTGTCAGGTGGGTGTTACAAAAAGCTCTCTGTTCTCAGAGACTGGAGTTGAGTTGGCAGGTGGAAGGATCAGGGGGACACCAGTTTTGGGTGGTTACCTACACCTCAGCAATCTTCCCCTCTCCCAAGCTCCCCCTCCTTCCCTCCTTCCCTTTTCCTCCACCTTTCTCCCCTTCTCTACCTTCCTCCTCAGAAATTACAAATTCAGGCTGGGCCAGCTCCTGAGAGCAGCCAAAGGTGGCAGAAGAGATCTCTTAAAAGAGAAGCCAAGGCTTGATTTATTTGGTTTAATATGTAGATCATCACCAAACTGAAGCTTTCTAACCACTGGCTGCTTCTCCAGGCAGACAGGCACCACGGGGGTGACACATCCCAAGTGGAGATAAGCTCCTGGGACCTTCAAAATGACTCATAGGTGCCTAAATTTGGGCAACATCAATGCCAAGTTGCTCATGTTTGGGCAGCCCAGTGCTGCAAAGGCTGAGAGAGGACTGAGAGGGAGACAGCTGTGACCAAATTTAAAGAAAAGTTGACCTGTAAATAACCTAAGTCTAGAAATGATTAAAAAAAAAGAACTAACACAGCTATTTTAGGTGTTTGTTTGTTTTTTTTAAAGGAATCACATGCCTCCTATGAAATATTGGCCCTTTGTGATGCAGCTGCTGGTTTGAGGCAGATGCTGGTCTCTTTTTCTCTCTGGATGTAAATTAGAGAGAAAAATCACTCAGGAAATTAAGGGCTTTGCCTCAGGAAAATCAAATTTGGATCCTTGCACCCTTGTAGGTCATTATGGATAAGTGCCTTGTCCTCCAGATTCCTAAAAATGGGATTTTCCTTTCCTCTTGGGGACGTCTAAGAGGCCCCAGTGGAAAATCACACTGCTTATGATTAATTAAAACATTTAATTAGAGAAGTTATTTGAAGGATAGATCACTTCCAGCACACTCCAGGGCTCTTCAGAGAATCAGATTTGCAAGACAGAGACTTTCTTTGCCACGACTCCTCTGAAAAGTAGGAGTCAATACAAGAACAAAGTGATGGGAGCTGTGTAAAAAAACCTCAACATGTTGTATTTAAACATCTTTTGAGCAAGCAGATACATTTTGGCTTTGGCATTTAAAAAAATTTTAAAAAAGCAAATTTCAGAAAAACTATTTGTTTGTAAAAAAAAAATATTAAAAAATCAATTTGGGTAAATATATTAGTATTTGAGTATTTAAAAAAAAATAAAAGAAAGGAAAGGAAATATTTACATTTGTTTGATTTCCAGTGCCAGCTTGTATTTATCAACAGATGGCCAGAAATCTTCTGATAATATCCACCTTTAGTTTACTCAGGACTTGAGGGTTTGTGTAAATGATGTCCTTTCCTTTAAAAAGTCTTACTCTTGTTTACTCCTTCCATTTCCTTTCTTTTCCCAACCATTTTTTACTCCTTTTTTACCCTTTTTTGCTCCCATCCCAGTTAATTTTTCTTGAAGAGCAGATGGAAATTATTGACAAATAATTTCAGGGTAACAAACTGATTAATACACGTTGCTCCATCCACTCAAGGACTGGAAAAGTGAAGCAAAGCTCAACCAAGTCTTGACTCAGATGGTAACCAGGGCCTCCAGTTTTCATTTGATGTTATTTGGGAGATTGTTTGGAGTACCATGTTTGCTCACATTCAAATTTTTGGGGCAAACTTTAAGCAGCAGCAGAAGAGCTCAGTGGGTTTTTAGGAAAGTGGAAATCTGGGAGAGATTTTCCTGCTCAGAACCCTGGCCTATATGACAAGAAAACGTGACATTCTCTGGTCACGTGAGAGCCAGAAGTGATCAGTCAGATAATTAGAAGGGATGATAATTTGATTTCCTTCCCGTTTCTGACAAAGGAACTAAGAATTGCTTTATTTCACTGATCTCAGTGATTCTGATTAAATCCTCTTTTTTTTTTTTTGGGTGCCACCTAACTCATCTTCTCCACAGAGGAGGATCCCTGTGAATGTAAATCCATCGTGAAATTCCAGACCAAAGTTGAAGATCTCATCAATTCATTGCAGCAGAAATATATCCTTTGGGAGCTGGGTTTGTCCAGCCCTTGCTGGCTTGGGCTGTGCTTTCTGCTGGGACCAGCAGGGAAATTCTACTCCTGGGGGAAGGAGGTTGGGAAGGAAGCTGGAAACGAGACTTTTGGGTTGTTGGATGTGGCATTTTATGCTCTGGTCTGGTTGACAAGGTGGAGATTGGTCAAAGGTTGGACTTGATGAGCTTGAAGGGCTTTTCCAACAATAATGGTTCTCTGATTCTTTGAAGGTGGGTCTTTTATGAGACTGCAAACTGCAGGGTTTGTCCTCTTGACTGTATAATCTGGATAATTCAGATGGACACATCCAATAGCCAGATCCAAACTGGGCTGAAACTCAGTTCTAGGAGATAAATTCTCACGTAGCTGCTCAGTGCAAACATCTCCAGCCAGGTGACTTTGATCCCATCATTGGGAAATGCCTTTTTCCACGCTGGGTCCCGTCACGTTGCACAAAGATGATGAATAAGGTGGAAAGAGAAACAAGAAAACAAAAAAATGTTGTGAGAAAGCTTCAAACTTCTCCTGGAGGGAGGAATTTGTAAAGCCTCACACGGGGCTGGGGAGGTTTTTCACCGCTGAGAATTAGGAGAGGGTGTGATTTTAACAGCTGATGTTCTGATTTATTCACACATTTCCTGCTTTGCTGTGTCACTCGCTGCTTTAGTTTCCACTCTTTGAGTCAAACCGAGTGAAATCCGTGCCTTGTGTTCTGCAAAAGGTCACAGGAAATCAGCACTTCTCACCCAGGGTGTCGCTGCTCCCCAGCCCATGGTGAGAAGCAATTAGTGAAACGAGCAGAAAATTGCTATGACACCCTTTGTAGCTCCGAGAAAAGCACTTGGCTCCTCTCTCCAGGCTGCTCAGGGTCAGGAACTCCCTGTCAGCCACTCCAAACACCTGACAGGTTTTACTCTTCCCTACAAAGGTGTGACAGGGGTGTGTGCACAGACCTTTCCTACCTTCAGCAGAAGGTCAGCAGCTTGAATAGCTGTGGAAATGCCAGAGTGGATGAGAAATATCCTGTGCTCTCAGCAAGGCAGCACCAGCCCACTCCTGATCAGTCAGGGAGGACTGGAGAAAGGAACTGTGGAATCACAGACTGGTTTGGGTTGGAAGGGACCTTAAAAATCATCCAGTGCCACCCCCTGCCATGGGCAGGGACACCTTCCACCAGCCCAGATTGCTCCAAGCCCCGTCCAAGCTGGCCTTGGACACCTTTCAGCCCAATGCTAAGATCTAAACAGGCTGTGAAGTGTAGGAACCTGGAGGTGATTTGAGGTCAGACTCTCCCAAAGTGCTCTGTAGGAAAGAACAACAAACCCCAGTGTTTGGAAGGTGCAGCAAGAGGGAGATTCCCTCACACATTGGCAGTGGGAATGATGAGCCACTAAAACAAACAGTGGAAGGTCGTGGAATCACAGAATCCTGGAATGGTTTGGTTTGGAAGGGACCTTAAAGCTCATCCAGTTCCACCCCCTGCCATGGGCAGGGACACCTTCCACCAGCCCAGGTTGCTCCAGGGACACTTCCAGGGATCCAGGGGCAGCCACAGCTTCTCTGGGCAACCTGGGCCAGGGCCTCCCCACCCTCCCAGGGAGGAATTTCTTCCTAATATCTAATCTGTCTTCGTTTGGTTTAAAACTCACTGTCTGTCCATGTCAAAAGTCACTCTCCCAACGTGCACTGTCATTTTTCCTCCTTAACTCCTGCCCACTGGAAGCTCTGGCAAAAAGGATCGAGGCCCTGGAGAACAAGATCATCTAAAGTCCCAGCACAGGATTTTTTACCTCCTTCCTAGAACTCCTCCACTTGTCAGGGAGGGCAGCTCAGCCACAGAGCTCTGGCCAGCTTGTATTTGAGTTCTAGAATACCTGCATTTGTTTAAAAGGGAAGAAATATAACAGTAGAGCATTGTATAATGGGCAGAGCACTGTGTGTTGCATCATATAGAGTGCATATATTAAAACAAAAAAAAAATCTGCAAAGATTTGTTTTTGATTTAAAGCTTAATATATATATGTGTGTTAATAAGTCCTGGATGATGAGCTCTGTGAATCCTCGCTGTGTTCTTCTGCAGCTTCTGTTTCTGTGCATGAGATAATTTAATTTAAAAGTCAAAGTGACTTCAAATCACCTCAGCTGCTGAGTGGAAAATGCCAAAGCTGATCACCTTGTTGTTGGGAACATGATGAGTCTGGCAGCAAGAGAAGCACAGCAGCCAGCCCTGAGCATGAGCTGCGGGTGGGATGGGATAGGCTGGGCTTACCCAGGGCTGTTGGACAGGGTAGAAGGAGAAAAGCTCAGCTTTCCCAGCCAGTGGATGGTCTCTCAGTGGCCCAGGGATGGAGCTCCTGCTCTGGGTGAGTCCTGACAATGTGCAATGACCTGGTGGCCTTGGCTCTGTGTGAAAACAGCCCAGATGTCTCTCCACACCCTCACCTGGAGCTTCAAAGCATCATCAGCCCCTGAAACCCAGGGAACTGCTGCTGGAGCTGCCCATGGAAGAGGTGACTCCATTGCTGCATCATCCAGAGCCTCACTGGCTCCTCCTCAGCCCATGGAGTCACAGAATCCCAGGATGGGTCAGCTTGGAAGGGTCCACAGTGGCCCATCTGGTCCCACCTCCCTCCCCAGAGGACAGGGGAGGTTCCCACTCCTCTAAGCACCTTCAAAGCCACCAAGTTCATCTCCAGAGCTTTCAGCCCCTCCTCCTGCCCCTGGATTCCCAGCACTGGCAAGACAAAGCAGCAAGGTGGACTGGAAGCACCTCAGACCTGCCTGTCTCCTGCAGCTGTAGCCTGGAATTCAGTCCTGGGAGGAATGGGGGGCCCTGGAGCCCCATGGAATGGTCACAGCCTTTGGATGGGAGCACAAGGAGCTGGGTTTGGGAGGGGGGTGTGGGGGGGTGTTGTGGTTTTATTTTTTGTATCAAAATATTTATACTTGAGACTACGTGAAAAGCTTTTCAGAACGACTTGGCCTGTTCAGGAATGGTGTTTTGGGGGAATATTAAAAGTTTGCTGTGAATTTTAAAAGTGAATTTCTTCTCTTTTTTTTTTGGTGTGGGTGTTGAGGTGGTTGCCTGACAACAGCAGCTCTCAGGAATGGGGAGGAAAACCCTCCATCTCGTGTCACAACCTCTTATTTCAGTGCAAGAGAAGAAATGGGTCCGTAGAGGAGGCAAAATCCTTCTCTCAAAATAAGAAAAAGCATCTTTTACAATAAAAATCATCCTACTCTTGGATGTGCAGGGATGAGTCAAGCATTAACTCAAGGGCTGCAGTCAGTTCTTGAGAGCAAAACCTCACCCTCTCAGCCAAATCTTGAGCACCCCAGAATCCAGGGGAACCCCCCCAACTCCTGAACTGCTGAAGATGAGATTCCTGTTTCATTTTACACACATGAAATCCAGGGCTGGAAGATTAATGTTAATTTGTGTCTCAATAGAAAGAGATGCACAGGGTGCACTTGTCAGGATTATCCAAAGTGCACGTTTAGTACAGCAAAGCAGCACCTGAACCTTCTTTTAATAAATCTTTCTAAATTATAACAACCCCTTCAGATGTGCAACTGGCTCTTAAACACCTCACCCAGGGTGAGAGAATCACCTCTACTGCCCTCCAAGGAATCCTTTTCCAAGCTATCACAGAATCCCAGAATATTCTGAGTTGGAAGGGACCCACAAGGATCCTTCAGTCCAACTCCTGGTCCTTTTGAGACCAAAATGAGAATCCAATTCTTAGGTGATTTATGTGGAATCACTTCCCATTATACCTATAATGGGAGCAGAAAAACCTCCTCAGGAAGCAGAGGAAGCTTCTGAATATTCTGATTTTCAGGGTTTTTTTTGACCAGGCCCTCAGAAAGTGAGTTGCTGCCACAGAGCACAACCTCACCTGGCTGGCAAAAAAATGGGGTTACAG